CCTCCAGCCTCCAACACCAGAACCACGACTGGCTTCCCAGAGACTCCAACTTCCTCCCACTAATGCACAAGGACATGAAAAACACAGGGGCCCACCTTGACCCTCATCCTATCCTTTCCAGAAAAAAACATTTGTCCAGAGGTAGAGAGTGAGCCCTAGGAAGGGTTGAGAGGATTATTTACCTACTGTCAATGCAGATAAGGTGGTGGTTGGCAACGCGTCTTTAATTGCAATAAAGACAGAGGCTAGAATTAAACTTGAGGATGAAAAGCTCCAAAAGGTAAAGTCTCCGGACATGGCAAGCATCATGAAAACTACTCAATTTCTGGTTCCTGTCACTTGCTCCCCATGTGTCTGCCCAAGTCTTCAGCCCAGTGAGCACTGCAAGGGACACAGGCCTCACTGGAGACCAGTCTGATCCCTCCAGCCTCTGAAGTGTGGGATATCCTCTTCTCAGGTTCAAAGGGTTTGCCTGCCCCATCCACTGACATATGGACTAATGGGCATATCTGACACCATTGATGAGCCTCTGACCTTTGGAGCTAAAGTGTTAGAAGGATCAGGGAGCTGCCCAAAGGAGTATAAAGTCTCCTAGCAAGTGGAGGCACCAGAAATATGTAATATCTCTCTCCCTGCCTGAGCATGGCCTCTGCCTTTCTGGATGTAGATGGGGCCCTGATGCATCTGGGGATGTTTGAAGGACTTTGTGTCTGCCCATAGCAATCAGGTTGACACAAAACCAACCCTCTCCCTTGCACATGTTAGTAGTCCCTGCATCAGCAAGTATGAAGCGGCCACTCCAGCAAAAATCCAGCCTGTCATCTCCTAGCCCAGCCCACAGGCATTCATAACAAGGCTTTGCTCAGCAGGCCTCATGGACATTGCCACCACCCCACCACCACCACACCTGACTGGTGCACAGGCAGGACACTGCAGTGCTCTGGAGGGAATTGCAGTCAAGCAGGCCAGACATGGACAGTCAGGGACAGTCACAAAACTGCACTCCCAGCCTTGTGTTTCCAGTCTGATGCCTCCTTATTGGTCCTCGGCAGAAGACCCTCCCTTCCCAGCATGAGCCTTTGCTTCTGGGCTCCTTCCAGTGAGACCATCCCTCCACCAATGCCTATATGTGCTGTATCCACCTCACCCTCACCTAAACCTTTCAGTAGGGGAAAGGGAGAACCCTGGAGAGCCAGCGTGCTATAGTTTGGATGCTTGTCCCCTCCAAGACTCATGTTGGGATTGGATCCCCAAGTATACAGGTGAGGCCTTATGTCCCATGTCTGGGTCATGGAGGCCAACCCTTCATGAATCACTTAGTGACCTCCCTGGTCAGGGATGAGTTCTTCTCTTAGTTCCTAGCAAGAGCTGGTGGTTGAAAAGAGTCTGGGCCCTCCCTCTTGCTCTCTCTTGCTTCCTCCCTCACCATGTGACCTCTGCCCAAGCCAGCTCCCCATCCCCTTCTGCCAGGAGTACAAGCAGCCTGAGGCCCACAGCAAAAGCTGAGCAGATGCCTGCACCATGCTCCTATGTAGCCTGAAAAGCCACGACTCAAATCAACCTCTATCTTCATGAACAACCTGGCCCCAGCTATTCCTTTCCAGCCACACTAAAAGGCAAAGACCTGGTGCTTTTGTCTTCTCCCTCTGCTTGTGCTGCCTCGGTGAACAAAGGTGTGACCCTTATTTCACTTTGGCCCATTGTCCTCTCTGACCTCCTCAAAACCTGGCAATGTGGCAAGGACTCATGCAGTTTTCTAGGAGAGAGCTAAGGAGATATCAGAAATATAGGAAAGGTTGAAAAAGCTCTGAGTGAGGAGATTAGAACATATTAAGACCTCATTTCCTGAGCAAAATCTACCCCAAGAGAGGAGACTCAAAGTCTTGGAGACCCACCTGTGCAGATGACACCAGCGTCTTCATGATGGCCACAGTTGTGGGAGAGCCAGCCTCTGTGGGGACAGTTCCACAGGTACGACTCATTCCCTGAGCAGCGCACGTCATCCAGGACAATGGGTCCTGAGCCCTGGCCAAACCGGGCA